ATCATCATCGTCTCAGCTATAGGACGTCCACTGCTGAACATAGACCTCCCCCAATGCTATCCACATCGCCCGGTTGGTAGCGGCCTGCATCCAGCGCCTGCTACCTTTATGAGGTCGTCGGTCCACCTTGCAGGTACACGTTTTCTGATGAACATATCCGGTACGAAGTTCGCCAAATCAGCTATGTATTATCTACCAATCCATACTACCCTTGCTACACTACGACATATTTTAACGCTTAAAAGAACCCTTGATACAAATCTGCTCACATAACGAGCTTACGAACTACTATGACGGATTAAATTACCCCCGCCTCGGCGATCAAAGGGTTAAGATAGGGAACGTATGGAAAGGGTAATCTTAGATTTAGGTTTGTTTAGTTTATGCAGTGGCTCGGATTGTTTGGGGTTAAACGAGTGGGCTTTGTTTGTCTTTTTAAGGGTTAAGTTGTACATTCGCAAAATTTGTCAAGCGAGGGTATATGACTATGTTTTACCCGACTACAGTGAAACGAAAAGAAAGGGTCATAATATTTATATTATTTGTACACTGCTAAAATATTTTAATGTTCTTAAGGCTGACAATAGTGACTATTACATTCACAAACAATGCTTGCTTAACTGAAGCAGCAAGCAGCAACTTATTGTCCCGAAGCAGTGGTAGGGTTAATACTGGGATGTGTAAAAGTGCTTTTTAAAAGCCTACTTGCATAAATAAAATGAGTTTTTTAACGGGCCAATGACTGTTTACCTTTCCCCCGGGACAAACTTAGCCTTCACTGGTAGGGTAATGGCGGTCAAGCTGTAGATCCTAGCTACACAGGAGTTGCAGCGGTGGGAACGAGAGGTGGGAATAATCCCGTGCCAAATATTATTTATAAAAAATACTATATCCTAGTTATTAAAATTTTCTATCGTTAAGTGTCGCATCTCAAACCAAATCCATAGCGAAAGGTCACTGACTGACTCATTCATAATGAAATCTCAAAACTAGAAATGCCAGGAGTCTCAAATTTTGCATGGGGGTTCCTTTTAGAACGCAGGTACTCACTAAGACGGGATTTTGCAAAATTCAACCCCTAAGGGGGTAAAACGGGATCCACGCGTACGAAGTCGCTAGTTAGCTAGTTCTAAATAACTTGAAAAAAATTGAATTGCCTAAGATGAATAATTATTCTATTTTATTTTCAACACGTCCCCGTTTCCCACCAGTTCAATAACCCCACAGGCCTCACCAAGCATCGAACCTGCGCTAATCCTATGATCAAAGGTTTCAAAGTGCTCACTGAGCATACGCGACGAGCGTGAACGCACGGTGGGTGGCGTTGGAACATGCATGGGAATTGAAATTTCCCATGCACGCAGGTAATTTGTAACAGGGTAACTATCAATATTAAAAAACATTCAACAGGTATTAAAAGTTTCTAGATTTAAGAGTCGCATCTCAAACTAGCTACATTTGAAATACTTGCAAAAATCTGATTGCCTAAGTTGGGAATCGAACCCACGACCTTTCACTTGCAGGGCGACTGCTCTTAACCATCTGAACTTCTTAGACAATGGGAGAACCTGTCATTCGCAAGCGAAAGGTTGTGAGTTCGATTCCCACCTTAGGCAATTAAATTTTTCAAGTTATTTCAGAAAATCACATTCAAGTCATTGAATGTGATTTTCATAAAAGTGTGCGAGTGTGCGTAGATACTCATGTTTACTAATAATACGGTTTTTATTGGTGATAAACGGGCCTATAATACTATTTCTTTACTTATCTGGATACTTACCTAAATTATAAAAAAATATTAATTTCAAAGGTAACGATATCAAGTTACCTCGAAGAAGAAGAAGAATCAAGTAAAATAAACATTAATAAAAAATATTTTAACAGTCATAAAAATACATTAAAAGAAATTTTCATTTGGCTTTATCAAATTTCGAACCCAAGATCTTACTCAAAAGGACTAACAAATTCTCTAAATTGTAACAACATCCCCACTAATATCTGAAGTTCTGACCTTGCCGTAATGGCTAAGTCAAATCATATCAAATCAAAACAAATCATTTGCAGGATGCAGGATATCGCATAACTGGACTGTTGAACACACAAATTTTTGAAATTTGAAATTCGAAAGGATCGTTTTTTCCCCATCAATCCCTAATTTTTAAGTGATCCCTATGGTAACAAATAACAGGAAATTCATTTTCAAAGGGGTCACTTAAAAATTAGGGATTAATGGAAAAACGGGTCGTCTCCATGGGAAGGAGCCCTTGCCTAACTGCCTCCGGTAAGACTCGAACCCAAGATCTTACTCAAAAGAATCAGAATCAGAAAGGACTAACAAATTCTCATCGCTCCGCTCTACCTTGTTGGAAACCGTGCCTTACTGTCTCCATCGAGATTCGAACCTCAAAAGGACTAACAAAACTCTAGATTGTAATAAAGTCACCACTAATATCTGAAGTTCTGACCTTGCCGTGATGGCTGAGTAAGAGTTGTCAATTGACGGCCAACTTGACCAGACCTCTGCATCGTTGGGTACAGCACAAATGATGATTGTGTGGATGAAGGTTTTGGGACATAGCTTATTTTGTAGTTCAGTAATTCTAATTCGGTAACGAAGTCTAAAATATTATTCGTTCGTTCGTTTCAGCCAAATAACATCCACTGCTGGACAAAGGCCTCCTCCAAGGTTGTCCACAATGCATGGTCCTGCGCTGCCCGCATCCAGGCTCTTCCCGCGACCTTTACCAGATCGTCGGTCCACTTAGTAGGAGGCCTGCCCACGCTACGTTTTCCAGCCCTTGGTCGCCACTCGAGAACTTTTCTGCCCCAACGGCCATCGTCTCTACGAGCTATGTGCCCCGCCCACTGCCACTTGATTTTAGCAATTCTGCGAGCTATGTCGGTCACTTATATTACTATCACTCTTTTATTTATAGAGAAATACTGCATTGTACTTAAGACCACGGTTGCAGCATAGCAGCCAAAACGTCAAGCCGTGACTACATTCTGTAACTCATGTAAAAAATTAAGCTTTGAGACCCGTATTTCACTATGTTAGTTGAAATGGAACGCGAAAGTTTTTAAATCACTCTTTTATTGTTTCTGTGTCATAACCCACCCAATCTTAATTGAGTTATACTTACCTATTATAATGTAGATACTTAGTCCAACTAGGTACTAATTCCAAGGTACTACTTTTCAAGGAAACCATGTAGGTACCGTTCATTATTTGCGCAAATATAAATATTTTCTCTTGTGACAGCAATGGGGATGTTGCCTGGGTCAAAAAGCAAGAGTTTTAATTAGTCCGTCATTTAACTTATCAAAAAATACTCTACACGTATTTTTCACTTTTTCAAACTAATGAAAATTTAAAGAGATAAAGCGCCCCAAAGTTCATAAGAAGAGGCCCGTGACGTCAACGCTTGCTTAAAAATGCCGCACGTTGTGACGTCGTGCGCAACTTCAACGCACCATAACTATGTAATTATTTGCTAGATTGACAAATAAAAATATATGTGTCCAATATTTTTTGATATTAAACATTACGGACTAAAAAAATTTTTTTAGGCAACTCAGATTACGAGAGCTATTCGTACAGTTGTTTTGAGTATCATCAAATATTGGTTAGTCCATCTTTAACTAAGGCTGAGTTTGTGCTTTTTGTATGGAGTTTGACAGATTTCTAGCGTTAGTCAAAGTTAAAGTAGGATGGTGCAACTCAGCTTTAGATATTTGTACTTATTAGTTTAGTCAAAAATTGGTTAGTCCATTTTAACTAGTGATGTCATACAAAATAATCGGTTTTTTTACACATTTTTTATAGTTTACTATCTTTCCGCCCGCGGCTTCGCTCGCGTGGACTATATTATCTACATATTTTACGGAACCCTATTTTTTTCCAAAATAAAATTTAGCCTATGTTACTCGTGGATAATGTATCTTTCGAATGGTGAAAGAATTTTAAAAAACGGTCCAGTAATTTTTGAGCCTATTCATTACAACCAAACAAAAAAACAAAATAAGTTTTCTTCTGTATAATATTAGTGTAGATTAATTTAATTAATCAATTTCTTGGTACTTTGGTCTAACCTTCACTTTACCCACAATACATTGTTGAGCTATGACTACTTACTGATGTGTCATTTGACTGTGACAGTCAGAGCTCTACATATTGTGGTCAGGTGACGCCGATACAGACCGGGGTCGCGGGTCAAATGCTTATCACGCGTTCTGATAAGGATGTAGTGATGTGCGCGAGAGTTGTCATTTTATTTGATATTCAAACTCAAATAAAGTATTAGGGTTCAATAAAAAATCCACGATAGCCGAATGGAGAAGGGGTCGGTTGGCATACGAGGAACGCGGGTTCGAATCGAACCCGCCGCCGATCGACTATTTGTGGTGAACCCACTCGTGACACATTTTTAATTAGCTACTACGAGGGATTAACGAGACTATTAAGAATTTTTGCAATACAAATTACTGGTATTCAAACACTTGACAATTATATCGATCGCTTCGTTTGAAGCGAAATCGATATTATCACGAATGTTACTTTGTCTAGGAGGCTGAATAGTGTTCACTGGAGGAGCAGGATCCTTTCTAATTTACCAGAGGCAAATGTAGGATTTGGCCTTCACTCCCCACGCTGGCCATAAGGGGTTGGAGAGAGAGATCTGATCCCTTAGTCGCTTACGACATCCACGGGAAGAATGGGGGGTCCTATTTCTACTCTGTAACCAAAAGTACATAGAAATTTCCCCCGAGACAATCTTGACCTTCACTGGTTGGGTTTTCATTGACGACCAAGCCCACCCAAGCTGTAGATTCTGGCTACACAGGAGTTGCAACGGTGGGAACGAGAGGTGGGAATACTCGTAGTCCCGTTAACGCAAAAAAGTAACGAATAAAAAAATACCTATTATTTTTAACACAATGTGTACATCACTAGCTTAATCAATTGAAGAGAGAACAATTATTTGACTCAGAGAGTCGTCCGTCTTCAAACAACATGTTGATGTGTTTATTATAATAATTATTAATCGTTAGGGAAAGTTATTATTACTATTAAGAGTTAGAACAGAATAAAGTGAGTGAATTTGTGTATTTTTGGTGATTTTTGTGGCGATTTGTTATACCAAGGATACTTAGTGTGATAATAATCAAGGATTATTAATAATTATTAAAGACTATCTTTAGAAAAACATTCGTAGGTCAGACTTTGTTGGTGGAAGTGAGTAACTTAGAGCTTCTTTTATTGTTCAAAATCTTATGTTATCTCATGTTTTTTTTTTCATGATACTTTATTGAAAGGTTTTTAGTTATAAAATGTATCCTTTTTGTAATCTAAATCACTCTTTTAATTGTAGGTATGTTCATTATTGTCAATTGTACAACATTTACATAAATATCGTACAAATAAATAAAGAGCAAAGATTTGTGTGTTTGCTACGAATAAACTCAAAAACTACCGGACCGTTTTCGAAAATTCTTACACCATTATAATGCTACATAAGTCATTGTATAGCATAGAGGCTATAACAGACCTTTCACGCAAGCAAACCCGCGGGAAAAGCTATTAGTAAATGCCTTTGCCCGCGATTTTTCGCCCTTCTTCTTCTTCTTCTTCTTTCCGTGCCTCTTCCCATTATTTGGGGTCGGTCCTCCTCGTTTTCATGACGCCAGATCGCCAGATCGCTCGATCCTGGGTTGTCTCTTCGTTCAGCTGGGCCTGTTTCAAATCCTTTGATATAGTGGACCTCCATGTAGCAAACGGTCGTCCTCTGCCTCTACTGCTGTCTGGTAGTGCGAGAGCTTTCTTGACGACATGATCTTCATCTCGTCTCATGTTGTGTCCGTACCATCTCATGCGGGATTCTTTGATCTTGTCAGTGATGGGGGCGACCTTGTAGCTTCCTCTGATGTGTTCGTTGCGCACTTTATCGAGTCTCGTTACGCCGGCCGCCCACCTCAGCATCTTTATCTCACAGGTATGGTATGCTTCACTTAAGCTAGCATCGTCTGTGAATACGGGCGTTTGTCTGTCATAGCTTAAGCTATAATATAGATAGCAAAAGCTTTATCACGCGCGTCCCTGTTTCAAAAACCAGAATAAAAACTGTCCTATGTTCTTTCCCGGGACTCAAGCTATCCCTATGCCAAATTTCATCAAAATCGGTTCAGTGGTTTAGGCGTGAAAGCGTGACAGATAGACAGAGTTACTTTCGCATTTACTATAATACTAGCGGCCCGTAGATCCCATTTTACCCCCTTAGGGGTTGAATTTTGCAAAATCCCGTCTTAGTGAGCACCTACGTTCTAAAAGGAACCCCCATGCAAAATTTGAGACTCCTAGCACTTGTAGTTTCTGAGATTATGTGATGAGTGAGTGAGTCAATCAGTGACCTTTCGCTTTTATAGATATAGATTCGAAGGGACGTAGGGATAATTAGTAGGGATTATTTCATAGAACAGTGTAGGTACATGAGGCGGACTTAATGCCTTTCGGCATTTTCCTCCAGTCAACCTTAGGGCCAAACTGAAAATAAAGTAGGTAGATTAGTTTAGTAGGGAAGTAGAGATAGTTATAGAAAGCTCACATAGTAGAGCTGAGAGCATACTAATTGTTGTTTATTTAATAGATTAGATTAGGTACATGCTATTTGTACTTCTCTCACATACCACAGACACAGGCAGACAGTGGTGACTGAGTTTGTTGCGGCGCTTCTTCTCAGCACTTGCCAAATGTTTGTCTCGAAGCGCTGGTAGGGCAAAAAAAGAATGAGACATGTATAGGCTCCTTAAGAGCATTTGACGATTTGCAAGAACTAATTTAATTAGTCTAAACAAATAAAGATAATTTTGATTTTTACCGTCGAGTTTTAGGATCAATATCTGGGTCTGGGAAATTTTATCTGTACTAATATTATAATTGCAACAATAACTCTGTGTCAGTCTGTTACCTTACATTTTTGGGAAATTTGGTATGGATGAAGTTTATAACCCAGGGAAAAAACATAGAAATTAAATGGTTTTTATTCCGGTTTTTGACAGGGAGTAGGTACACGCAGTATAATCTTTCTACGTCATCATTCAAGCGAGTGAAGACACGTGATAAGCTAGTACTTATTAAAATATGTACTTAATTAAAGTTTTTTGTTTTCAGAAAGTTAAAAAAATGAGAGCAGTGTATTTGATTGTTATTATTGGTAAGTGATAATAATAAAATGTGTAATACTTTACTAGTTTAGTCTTTTTCTGAATAGGTTTCTTGGTGCTAAATAATCATTTTTCTTTCTTTCTTTATTTTTCAGCTCTATCAACCAAAGTATTCGCGACCAAAGACCTCCGCCTGCTATTCCCTCTTGATAAGCAGTACGTATACGAGGTCCACGCCTCTCTGTCTACCCTCTCAAGCGCTAGCGATGGTAAGTTCTTAGGAATCAATAGAATCAAAATCTTTATAGTATAGGCCCTTTTATAGGTGCCACGTCCCAAATATACCTTGCCCTACCACCACTTCGACTACTGAGATTGAATATAGAGAAAAAGCCACCATAAAAGCTGATTTTTATAAATCATATTTGGGCAATAATTAGAAGTAGTTTCCCCATCAGCCAGACAGTTTTGACAGTTCCAACTCCTTGCCAGAAAGTTTTTTTAGGTTAGCTGCCAAAGCCACGATGACCCAAACTTCATAATTCACCAACATTAGATATAAAATATCTTTTATTGGGAACATAAGCCGACAAACTTTCAGCTTTTATAAAATGACGTAGGCCTGGCGTTCACTAACTATTCGTCTATTCACTCTACTATGGCGCCGTCTTGGTTTTGACTTGTCATAGTCCTTCAACAGCTTCAGTTTGCGCCACTGTTTTAGTCACTGGCAAGTGTCAGGACCATGCTCTACAGTGGCGCCAACTGATAAGCGCTATAATGACTATATTTTTAACTTCAGGCTACAAAGACACTTCCTGGAGCCTCACAGGCCGCCTGAAGGCCCAAGTCTTCGACAACGAAAGCCATGTGAGATACGAATTGGACGACATAAAGGTAAACACCTACCTAATTATCACAGATCACAGAAACTAAAGGGAGATGTCGACAAGGGGGCGTGGCCGGTGTCGCAGCAATATGCCCAAAAACAGAACACATTGCTCGTGAAAGCATTGATGACAGCAGCGACGTCATAATGTAAACAGCTTACATTGCTTGCGTAGTACTAAAGATTATTCGAACGTTGAGTACTGATACCGCAGTGGATAATGAGCACATAAAATATTTTGATTACTTTGTGTGTGTGAATTTCTAATGCAACACAGTTTCGAACTTAGCGCATTAGTTGACATCTCTCTATATCTCTTTGATCCGAGCAATCCGAGAGTCATTATTGTAGTGTACGGCTCATAACCGAACCGATTTTGATAAAATGATAGTGTTACCTACTTTTTACCCGACTGCGCCAGAAGGAGGGTTATGTTTTTAACACGCTTTTATTAGGTCGTCGTGTAGGTATGTAATGTAATGGAATCTAAGAATCTAAATTACACGCACTTCTAATTCTTGTATCATCATGAAACTTGGCAATTATACTATGTAGATTAGATGACAATACAATATTATGGTACCATCGAGCTGGTCTGATGATGGCACTGGAAGGCGGCCATAGGAACTCCTAAACGAAACGGTTGAATTGCATCGAGTTTGGGTTCATTGAATTTGTCTTTTCGAGCACTTTAGTGCTAGATGATGTTCAGGATCCTGCCTTTTAGTGCAGTAATTAAAAGCGTGTTTTTAGCTTTTTAAACTATTAATTTATCTATCGTATAAAAAATTTCCAGGTCCATGTAACAAGCAAAACTGATGGCCACATATCCTATCAGTTTGATAACGAACTCGCACCATTGAAATTACCATGGATCGTAGAATATTATAAGGTGGGTTTTATTTGGCTATCATCATCATCATCATCATCATCATCATCATCATTAATGCGGACAGTGCAGGACCGGACTTTGTGGAAATCCTTGGGGGAGGCCTTTGTCCAGCAGTGGACGTCATTTGACTGAAACGACCGAACGTAGAAGCCAAAATAGATAGTAACAAAAGACAATCACCAGTAGGTACTTCATTTTGCATACGCACACAGACGCGTCTAAAGCGGGTGGCATTCGCGCTCGCATTGGTTTAGACTGGTTTATGATTAATGAGTTAGTGGTTTAGACTGGTTTGTGATATTGTGTCATTCTTCAGTCTTTGACCGAGCGCTCTTTGTATGTAGATTGTCTTCTACTCCTATCTATTTTGTGCTATTGGTGTTCATCATCATCATCATTTCAGTCACAGGACGTCCACTGCTGAATATAGGCCTCCCTCAACGATTTCCACATCGCCCGGTTGGTAGCGGCCTGCATCCAGCGCCTTCCTGCTACCTTTATGAGGTTGTCGATCCACCTTGTGGGTGGACGCCCTACGCTGCCATTGGTGTTAAGTATAATAAAATATTATATACTTTTTTGCAGGATATTTGTCTCATCGAAGCCATATTCCTGCCGGCAGAACCCACGTGGGTCTCAAATGTGAAACGCGCACTCAGTCTGAACTTCCAATTGAAGAAGGGCGAAGGGATCTACACCAGCTATGAAGTAAGTAAAAGCACAGTACGGCCATTCTCAGATGAGCTAGTTTTTGCGTGTCCGGGCTGTTAAATCGTTAAAAATGACAAATTAGAAACATGCAAGTATTTTTATATGTTACTTCACAACCCTATCCAGTTGTGCATTAAATCATAGGCCTTTATTTGAAGTATTTGTGTCTAAATTAATTTCATGAACCTCTGTTCTCTAATTACCGTTACGTGTCCGCACACCGACTTAATGTTAAAAGTTGGCTGTAATTTTTATGTCGTAAAGATTTGGTTTACTCCATTCAACATTTTAAAGAGTATAAAAGATAGTCTTATGCATAGCAAAATATCTATTCAATAGAACCATTCTGTAAATAATTAGAATTAAAAAACTGCTTGTCCGAGCGAAAATCCTAATTCCCGTGACGTTTTTTGTTTTTGGGCACACAAGCCTAAATAATAATATTTGACACATCATTTACGCGCGCGGCGCGAGCCCTTAGTTAGTTCTATGACCTGTAAGCAAGTAGACGTCTATTGCGTTGGCGTACCGTCGATGAATTGCGTAAGAGTATAATTACCATATCTTTGGTTTTCAATTTTTCTATTTACCATGTCCTTATTTTTAAACTAGATTTTTGAAGGTAGATCCACGTTGTTGATTCAAATAGAATCGGTACTTTGGCCTCCATACGTTATAGTAAGACAGTATTTGCATACCCTGCAGATTTTGGAAATTTTGAAGAAAACCTATCGTTTTCTAATTTCCATGTACTAATTACCATATATTTATAATCACCGTTGTATGTAGTTATTACCTACAAACTGCACTCACGATTGAATAAGTATAATTATAAAATAGCTAGACTTTCGCATAACAACTTTACGGACTTTTCTTCCAATCTGACATCAAAATTTTGAAAAGCTTTTGTTAGAGTTACCTCAAAATAGATTCGATTTCATGACGAATGTTCAGCTTCAGTTGCTGCATGGTTGTTGGATTTTAGAGTATATTTTAACCCCTAAGGTAACCTCACACAAAGAAGTTAGCTGGAGTGAAATCGGGGCTTCCTGATGCCCAGGAGATGTCACCCCTGCGTGAAACATGTCTCGTACCAGATATTTATTTTTACTATTAATATCATTGATATTAACATGTTAAATCATTAATTAATTCTAATATAATACCATTAAAATCTATCCATGTTAATTTTGCCCTAAAAAGATGAGATTGTCCAACAGTAACACTTACCTGGCGTGATCACATTAAGAACAAAAGGGAACAAATGAACAGACAATGGGCCTTTTCAAGACGAGTGTTTAGGCACTTTGTACCATCCTAGACTGCATGCAGCTTTGTTATGCATGCATTGAAAAAAAACTTCGTGATATGCAATGGATACTGGGCAGAAGAAGCTTGGAGAACAAACTAAATACAAATGCATCCTAAGACCCATATAGACATATGGCATCGACCGGTTTACAAAGTCCACTGAAGTGATACCAAACGTCAAAGAGGGTGTAAAAAATTCCTGTAAAGCTTACAAACAAAGACTAGACCGTCATGAAATCTATTTGCTGCATCCCTTCTAAATTCTGAGAATTCTGCATTCAGGCTCAGGAGAAAGCGAATAGCATCAATCTGAAAACTTATTGTAAAAGAATCGAGGTGACAAATACTGGGATATGCAGAGCTGGAACTGTCATTATTACAAATTCAATTTAATCTGATTAAGAGATGGCTGATCACAGATAGATTAAGTGTTCCTGTTATAGCCTCGATTCTTGCAGTAGGTACACTGAAAATATCATGATACAATAAATAATAGAAATTAGTGTTTTTCTTTTTGCAAAGGGTTATTAAGAGTACCTACAGCCTTTTATATGACGCTTGTGTACAAAATCAATGCAAGATGTTGTTTTTTTGCTATTTTACATATCTTTTCTAATTACCGTTAGATTAAGTATTAGCCTTATCTAATTACCGTGACCATAAAATTTTTGGGTCTCATTTACTCGAAAACCGCTTTGAATAATTTGACGCCTTTACGATAGTTAAATTCGTACTTTTCATGTGTTTTATATTTCAATGCGTTTAAGTCAATTAAGCCAAATTTAAAAAATAATATGGTAATTAGGCTGAGAACGCCTAATCGTGAGAATGGCCGAGTAGATAAACATACAACCCAATTGAATTAGGTATGTGGTGCATAATCTTTTCTTAAAGGTTTTAAACCTTTGTTTGTCACCTGTCATCGGCTTTGCAATGGAGGGAAGTCGAACCTTAATTTCGAACTCCTCCTAAATGTTCTTCTGTTTAATTTCGTTGCGGGTCCAATGACAGTTTAACTTTCCCCCGGGACAAACTTGACCTTCATTGGTTGGGTTTTTATGGCGGTCAAGATTGTAGATCCTGGCTACACAGGAGTTGCAGTGGTGGGAACGAGAGCTGGGAATAGTCCCGTTAAACCCAATTGAATTAACTGCGCACCTCGGTGAATGCGACTCTCCATCGCACTCACCCGCACACCTCCTCGTGTTCGCCTATAGTCTGTCGCCGAGCACGTAGAATTTTGTCCAATGACCCCAAGCTACCTATCCTTATCGCTCGCGCGTAATTATATTGCTGTCGCGACTGTGCGACGGGCGGCAGCAGTGAGTGTGTGAGCGCCACACATTGGACAACATTCTACGTGCTCGGCGACCAGACTTTAGAGTGTCGATGTGACGTCACGGCTGCCAGGTCGATCAGTTTGTACAGGGTGATAGCGTAAGCAGTCGTACCTTTTAAACTGCGAAATAAAAAATATTACAGAGGTTTGAAATAATATACAATATTTTTTTTAAACTTACATTTCATTTTGTCCCGTGTTGCACTGCAGTAGGCCTCACTCACGACACCCACGATGACGTCACAACCATCAGTTGTTCCCACTCGCTCAATGCTAAAACTACCTTCTTCTTGTCGAGCACAACCGTAAATATCGTATTGTAATAGCAAACTTCAATTTATCAGAAACAAAAGACAAATTCTTTGTGAAAAACACTACAACCGCGTTCAGGTTTGGCAACACACTTGAAACACTTTTAAAAAGGTAAAAAAATATTTAGTTACCTTCCCGACGTTCCGACTCGGTTGCACGAGTCATGGTCGCGGGCAGACAGAAGAGATGTGGCGTCGTCTGATGAGTTTTCTATATCCACCCGCATTTGCACAATATTTTTGTCGCTGGTATATAGTCAGTCCGACAAACAACACTTACAGTAACTACTAAAAGCGAGTTAAACGACTAAATTACTCGACTAGTCGGACCGCGTGACGTCAAGTCGACGTGCGCTAGCTTCCGTTACCCGGCGGGGAATGACGCGGGAAGGGATGAAGTGAGCGGGGGGAGTGGCGCAGACACGGCGGCGCCAGCGCATCGCGTTCGTTCGGTTGCTATGGCAACTACGATCAGAGTAAATATAAATGAGTAGGTCATCTTCATAGAAACGCACCGAGCGCGATTTTTATGTAATAATAAATAAATAAATAAATAATAACTTTATTAACATTAAAACAAGTACAGTATAAAATTGCGAAATCCCTGACTCCTGCGCTAGGTGTATGTACCTGTGTTACAGGAGCCAGTGCCCACACTTAAATCGGTGAATGTGAGCGCGCCAATACGTATGCGGCGCGCACGCACACACTGACAAAATTCGAAGCTAGCTACACGCGTTGGTTTGGCCGAACCTTAACTCTCGTTGCGCGACCTATACCTTCATACGTTTAATTATGATCTTCCTTCTGCAACGTTTCTTCCAGCCCTGCATCCACGACTACCGCTGCCTCACCACCTACGTCACAGACAAGAACAAGATCAAAAAGTTTACGTCCTCACCCTCATCTCCCAAGTTCGGGAACAGCTGGCGGTCTGTACCATGGACTGACCCCGTCTACCGCCAAGATCAGGCTCTGTGGAACTCTATTGCAAGTATTTTAAGTCTTTGTCTTTTGAAAATAAGTCTGGTTATAGTGTATGACTGATTGGTAAGGTCATCTCTAATGAGGCAAATGGAAGATATGGGTGAAAGATGGTTGGCAGTCCACAACAGTACGTTTCTCTAGAAACTTCCTGCCCCGTACAACCAAACTGTGGAATGGACTGTCGTCTGCGATGTTTCCGGACGGATACGACCTGCAAGCTTTCAAGAGGAGAGCATATCTTTACCTTAAAGGCCGGCAACGCACCTGTAACGCCCCTGGGTCTGTGGGTGTCTATGGGCGACGGTAATGACTTACCATCAGGTGATCCGTCTGCTCATTTGCCTCCTGACACATAAAAAAATTTGGCCTACACCTCCACGCTGGCCAGACGGTTTGGGGAGGCCGATGTTCGTATTTTGTCCCTCGGGAAGACATCCATGGGAAGAATAATAGTCCTATTCTACTCTGCCGATAAAACATCATACTAATTCTTGAATTAATGGAAAATTATACCTACTATTCCGCCGATGGGGCAGTATGGTTCTGGAGTGGAGGCCACGTACCGGAAAGCGCAGCATAGAACGTCCACCAAAAGGATGGGTGGGCCGATGACCTCATAAAGGTAGCAGGGAAGGCGCTGGATGCAGGCCGCCACCAACCTTAATTTCGAACTCCTCCTATGTTCTTCTGATTAATTTCGTTGCGGGTCTAATGACAGTTAACTTACCCCCGGGACAAACTTAACCTTCATTGGTTGGGTTCTTATGGCGGTCAAGCTGTAGATCCTGGCTACACAGGAGTTGCAGCGGTGGGAACGAGAGGTGGGAATAGTCCCGTAGGCCGCCACCAACCGGCTACTGTGGAAACCATTGGGGGAGGCCTATGTTCAGCAGTGGACGTCCTATGGCTAAAATGATGATGATGATGAAACTAATTCCAGAAATTTACGTTTCCAGCCGGACACAACTTCAGTTTCCACTGAGAGGGAGTACGGATTGAATGACAGAACCGGTCTGACAGATATATCCATGTCAGAATTCATAGTATACAAGCTGGACGACACAGAACTGAAGGTGCTAACTGAGTGAGTATTGCAATCGCAATCGATATAGCAAATAGGGTAATTAACAATTTGAAAATTATAAATTTTATAACTTGAAAAAATCGAACTGCCTTAGGCAGGCGAGAATTGAACCCACGACCTTTCGCTTGCCGGACGACTGCTCTTTCAACTGAGCTACTTAGACACTGGATGAACCAGTCGAAATTAACAATTTCCTAAAAAAGCACTAAGGCTGGATGCACCAACAGTAACTACCTATTACGATAACCGGTGCTTTTTGTATGGATTTTGACAGATTTATGACGTTTGTTAAAGTCAAAGTAAGATGGTGCAACCCAGCCTTAAAATTCTTGCCCTTATCTGATTGAGGCCCGATTCAACCAAACTTTTATCCGAGAATAACTCCTGGTATAACTGGCACATTGACAGTTTAAGAATGGGAAATATGTCAAAACGTCGACTAACTGACGATTTATTCTGCGATTAATATTTACGGCCGTATTCGCAAACATTACTACGAGGTCTCACAGTGCGCGTGGCCGCACAGGGTAATACACGAACCAATCACAGAGCTCTAGTATTCAACGCTGTGCGTTCGATTTGCTGCTTCACATAAACAAGCATCGTTTACATACGGGCGTTACTCTTGTTTGGTCGAATCCACCCTGAGTACAAGTAGTTTTTAATCATCTCAATTGGTACCCTCCCTAAACCAAGTACCCTAAGCACAAATAACTTTGACAACCATAAAACTGTATTATTGACAATGATTGTTTGGTAGCTATCAGGAGAGAAAATATTATTTTATTCATTTGCGTAGTTAAAAATTAAAAATAATGATATTATGAAAAAAAACGTTAGCCACTAGCTTTTGTCGAAAGATATCTTTCTTGTTGTTTATTTAAGAAAATTAATAAAAAAAATTATATTGTGACAACAAACAACCATTGTCCATTCATTGTCATCACAACAGTAACAAGAATTGTTCGTGCTTGGGGTACAGGAATTGAAATCTTATATTGTCAATTCCAGGTTGACAATACAGTACGACAATGAGCCAGATCTTCAGCCTAAGAAGCCGGAGAACCTCGAGGTTACCAGGTCCAGCGTCAAGTATGACAGGGAGAGCTGTCAAGACTCCCTCTGTGGCATCATGACTGTCACCCAGGGGCATTTGAAGAACAGGACCTTTGAGGTAAGACGACATTTTAACCTCTGTGGCTAGAGTTCTTCGATTACCAGTGGAAGCGATTCCTGTTCTTCAAGGGCATTTAAGGAACAGAATTTTGAAGTAAGATCACCTTTACCATCTGTGGTTTATTGGTAAGACCTTCTGCTTCAAACCCAGAGATCTATGGTTTTTCGATTACCAGTGGAGGTGACTCCCTCTGTGGAATCATGGCTGTCACCCAGGAGCATTTAAAGATCAGGACCAGGTAAGGGCTCCAGTAAAGCAGGACCCAACAAAACTGGACTGTGAACACACACATGTGTGTTTGAAATTCGAATGGATCGAAACCACAAATGGGATATTCGTGTGAACGTTAATAAAACACATACGTGATCCTGTTCCAGTTCCTGCAAAAAATGAGATGTCTCCGTAGGAACAATCCCTAAGACGACCTTTTAACCCCCGATCTAGTGGGACCACCTGCTTAATCTTACCCAGACGTCCCGGGTTCCATTACCAATGGGGTCAAAATTTTCTGCTCGGTATAGTAGGTGCTCAGGGTTGGTCTATACTGGCAATACTGGATAAATATTTTTTCTAAGTCTATTAATATTATTTTGTATAGAGAACAATAGTGTCTAGACAAACCTAAAGAGGATTTAGGACGCTATTTGGATCAAATGTGTAATTGCTCAATAATGAATATTATATAAATAAATAAAATATTATTTGTTACAGATATTGTTAAAGATTGCCAAAAAAGGAATTGACGCTGACAACATAGTGAGAAACTCCTCCATGATTCATAGCCTTGATTTTATTAATCTACTGAGGTAAGTTTCATTCAACTGTTGATCAACATAAATACAAATCATGATCACCATCATCAGGTCTCTTCAACCCGTGGGGAGTGTATGAAGGGATGGGAATGAAGGCTACTGACAACGCTAGTCTTGTGGCGGAGTTTTGGGCTGCCACTATGTAGGTTTGTTGTCGACACGACAAGAAGAAGAAGTTTTTGATCTCAGATCAAAGATCTTGCGTGCAAAATGCCTGATTTATATATTTTCTTACTTTCAGCACCATATCTCAACTGAACTACACAACCCTGAAGAGAATCTTCGAAGACCTTGTCTTGGGAACTAGCTACGAGCTGGAGACTTCTAGAAATATATTCCTAGAGATGCTTCCGTACGCTGGCTCAGATGCTTCAGTTAGATTTGTGAAGCACTTAGTCATTGAGGAGAAGGTAGGTCCATCATCGGGGAACCAGACGCAGGTTAGCGTACCATCCCTGTATTGTTGACATTCCCCCAGCTCGCACTAAGCGTTTCGATGACTCTTTTATAATGCGAACAGCTAGGGACTGGAATTCGTTGCCTGCTGCTGTCTTTCCCGAAAACTATAATCCGGGCCTTTTCAAGGCGAGAGTGAATAGGCACTTACAGGGCAGATATGTACCATCCTAGACTGCATCTCACTTTACATCTGGTACGATTGTGGTCAAATACCTGCCTTGTTATGCTTAAAAAAAAAAGGTTTAATCAACTGTCCCAACTGTGCACCTGGCTGCCGTGACGTCATATAGACGCTCTGGTACGGACGGGGCGAACGCGGGGACGTGTGCGGGTGAGTACGGTTGAGAGCTAAAAGGTTGTCTTACTTCAAAGGTCCTGTTCTTCAAATGCCCCTGGGTAACTGTTATGAATCCACAGAGGGAGTCTTGACAGCTCTCCTTGTCATACTTGACGCTTGACCGGGTCACTTCGAGGTTCTCTTCCTTCTTAGGCTGAAGGTCTGGCTCATTGTCGTACTGCACTTATACACGTAAGTACATGTCCCTTAATGCTTGCTTTACCACCACTTCAGACAACATAATTATTCTGATGTTGAAAAGGTGGCAAAAGAAACTCAGTTGCCTTTGTGAGGATTATTCCATTTTGTTCACCTGCCTCTTATACACTCGGCATCAAATAAATCGCACCTCCCGCGACAAGCACTTATCAAACGTATGCATCCCCACTTCCCACCAACATTGGTACCATTTGAAAGCCTAGTTCTAAACTTCATTTCATTAAAGGAAAGGTTTTTACCCCAAAAATGTGTCTTTACAAGGATCCAGAGTCACTTCTTCAAAAAATAGGTAGTTACGCTATAGCCATTTTTATGACTATAAAACTGTTAAGTTGGGATTAATCGCTATCCATCTGTTAAAGAGGACACGTGACATCTTTATTTGGTTTTATAACCATAAAAATTGGTCTAATTGATCCCAGAGGTGAGCCCAAAGTGAGGTCTATTTTCAAGTCATATTTATGATAAATGTTAATCATTTACTTAGAAATGAAATGTATTTTTCTTTAAGGATATTTATTGGGCTTTCAAATAACACCAATATTGTTGGGGTACCATGATTGTGTCAGAAGAAAATCTTTAAAGTTCGCGTCGCGGAAGGTGCGGTTTATTTGATGTTGAGTGTATTATTCTTTTCACAGGAAAAAATAGAAGATTCCGCGCTGATAGCAATGATCAGAAAGCTACCGTTCACTGGAGCGAACTACACCCAGGAGTTGTTGCAGGAACTTGAACCGTTCACCAAATTGGGACTGGACTTCCCTCAGGTGAGTGTCTTGAGAAAGAAGGAAAAAATATTATTCTAATCTTCACCTAAAAGCGGAAGGTCACTTATTGACTGACTCATTCATCACAAAATCTTAGAAACTACATGTGCTATGAGTTTCAAATTTTGCATGGGGGTTTCTTTTACAACGCAAAATTCAACCCCTAAGGGGGTAAAACGGGATCCAAGCGTTAAACGGGATCAAGTAAAACGGGCGGTCGCTAGACTTACTCTAAAAACGGTACCAAAGTGGTCTAGTAAGACACTATAATCAGTAGTTGGAATAATGATGAGCACTATTCCTTAAGGTCCAAGGAGGACGATTAGTACACTTTTATTAAAACAACTTTTCTTTCTTGCTTTCTTAGATGGGCTTTCTTAGGTGGGCTTTCTTCAGCCTCCAGCAAGATGGGGAGATTAGCTAGCTACCTACTGCTTTTTCTACCTTGCTGCATCATCATTTTCTATCAATCTATAACAGTTCCCTGCTTCATGTAAGCCTCCAAGAAGCCATTAAGCAAGATCTCTTTCAACCACTGCTACCTAACTATCTTTACAAAGTCATCGGTTCATCAAGCATGGCATCGTACACTACATTGCCAAGATGTTATGCGAAGCAATTTTTCTTTTTGACCCAGCCTCTTTTTCCTTTAGAATAAATTGTTTTCACTTTATTTTTTCTCTCACTCATGAAAAACTTTCCCCGCTCCAGGAAATCAGACACTCGGCTATCCTCAGCTTCTCCACCCTCCTGCATCAGACCAAGAGGGATGGGAAAGTGGGCGATGACTACTTCGACAATATGGTGGTGAAATACGTCAGGATGTACAGTGGTGAGTTTCAAACAAGAGCTGGAATTCTGCTGAAAAGTCTAATCAAATCAAAACAAAAATATACAGTAACTCCATTATTCGTCTCGAAAAGTCATTCTCCTTCTTCTTTTCGTGTCGACAACAAACCAACACAGTGTTAGCCCAAAACTCCACCACAAGAGTGGCGTTGTGAGCAGCACTCATCAAATCCTCCTGAGTGCAGTTGCTCGGGCACTCAGGGCACGACTATCAGGTGCTTCATCGACTTCTCTAAATAGACTTCGGACGCAGGTTGGCCGTAGTAAGGACAATCTGGTCAGGTGGGGATTCTTGGATGGCTTAACCATGGAGTGCAGGTGCGGTTTTGTTCCCCAGTCGATGAAGCACCTGAAAAGTCATTAATTCTTTGAATTACGTAGGCTTTTTATCACAAAACATAGAGGCCACTTCTACATAGGTATACTGTTTTCAATTTTCACAAGTTCTATGTTCTTCTGATTAATTTCGTTGAGGGAAACTTCCTCGGGGCAAACTTGACCTTCACAGGTTGGGTTTTTATTGGCGGTCAAGCTGTAGATCCTGGCTACACAGGAGTCAATTATGTTGCTATCGCGCTCGCACACTCACTGCGGGCGCCCGTCGCACAGTCGCGACAGCAATATAAATTACGCGTGAGCGATAAGGATGGGTAGCTTGGGGTCATTGGACAAAATTCTACGTGCTCACGGACTAGACTATAGTATAATCTGCATTTTAGATTGTCCACACTACATGGACAGACTGATCTGGCTGCAAGGCATCAGCAACATCGGCTTCTGGGCACAGAAGTACACGATGGAGATATTCACTGACACTTCCAAGAAACGAAACGAAAGGCTATGGGCTGCATTCTCTACCAACTACATTGACAACCAATACTATACTGATGGACAAGTTCGGGTACGTATCTGTCCAATTACAGTTGAACTTTCCCCCGGGACAAACTTGGCCTTCACTGGTTGGGTTATTGGCGGTCAAGCTGTAGATCCTGGCTACACAGGAGTTGCAGCGGTGGGAACGAGAGGTGTAAATAGTCCCATATCTTGTCTCTACCTATATCTATAAGTATCTCTATCTATATGTCTCAGTTAGTGTCCGAAGTATGGGAAGCGGCACGAGAGGGTGTTTTTGTTAAACGTCTACGAGACGTCAGATGTATGCTCTGTCACGTCATAAATGTCAATGTCAGCCCTCCCGTGTCGCTTCCATACCTCATTGACTGAGGTATGCGCTAGCTAGACCTTTTAACCCACCACCACCCATGGCCATGCCAACCTTGCGGTTATAACTGGCCGAATCGCAGGAGATGCGCGCGGAACTGCGTCTGCCGTAGCAGGTTGCACTCTGCCGCGCGCAACGCTTGACTCCCTACAAATTCTTTGATCTTTGTCCTTGTCCCTATATTTGCTACTCTCCCGATCTGGGGCTGCGACTATCACGAAGACGGATGGCACCCTATGGCGCCGAACTGTTCGGTGCTGTCCGCTTCACATGCCACTTGTACGCGAACGCCTTGAGCGCTTGAAGTTCGCCTCTGACGCAACAAGATCGGGGTACCAAGCGGGGCCGTGCGTCTCCAGCACGACTCCCTGCAGCAGCTCCTCGCGTATGTCCCTATATAGGGGACAATCCCACAGTATGTGGTGACGGTCCTCCTCGAGCTCACCGCACTCGCAGCTCGCACTGTCCCTTAACCCCATGTTGCACAGCCGCTTGTTAAAGCAGCCGTGCCCCGTAAGAACCTGGGAAGTCACATAATCTGGTTCGACTCAGATGCCCTTATAGGTCTAATAAATTAATTATTTTACAGATAGTAGACCTGCTCCTCCCGATCCTGACCAACTCCACCGAAGATCTACAAATCAAAATGGCGGCCGTCCACGTGTTTCTGACGTCAACAGCGATTACTCAGAATGATTTCTTGACTATCCAAAGATATTTGGTCAGAGATGAGACTCTGTACCGGTTTTGGTACATGGCCATCAAGAGTTTGGAGTTGAATAAAAACTTCGATGGTTATAAGTTGGCGTAAGTTGATGTTTAAATACAATTTATTATGTGAAAGTAACTGCGTTTTATGCATAAAGGATAAAGGACGAAGCACACTTATCAACTCGGAAACGGATCGTAACCGTATCAACTCCAGGCGGTCAGTATTTTTTCTATGAAATTCCGTACTGCAACGCACACCTAACCGCATCGTAACGTAAACGCCTCGCATCGCGGTTGACAGCGCGCAAAAGGCGATGACAGCTCACGAAAGGCGATACGGTGTTAATTCCTTTCCGAATTGATAAGCCTCTTATGAGCGTTATGCGTAAACCACTGAAAAAATGATATTACCTACAACTCGATTGAGCTAATTAAAATAAATTATTAGCAGTACAACCTTGTGGATGGACGTCTCACGCTGCGTTTTCCGGTACGCGGCCTCCATTCCAGAACCTTGCTGCCCCATCGGCCGTCAGTTCTGCGTACTATGTGCCCTGCCCATTGCCACTTCAGCTTGCTAATTAATCCGTTGGGTTATGTCAGCGACTTTAGTTCGTTTACGGATCTCCTCATAAAGGTAGCAGGGAAGCGCTGGACGCAGGCCGCTACCAATCAACATGAAAAGCATTGGGGGAGGCCTATGTTCAGCAGTGGAGGTCCTATGGCTGGAATGATTATGATGAAGATGAACTGTACAACATCCTTTTTACTAGGATTTTCTTAATACATTTCTTACAAACAACATAAGATGCACTCTGATTCACCAAACTTTGTCTCCCACTCAGCTCAATGTACGTCCCAGCAGTATCAGGCCTGAAGTACTACCTCAACACGGACTTCTGGTCGGTCAACAACCTCATCATCAGCTCCGCCGACCAGTCGTCCACCCTCCACCTGCTGTCCACTGGGAACCCTGGAGAACTGCCCAACTTCGCTGGTCTGAGGCTGTCGGTGGGAGGAAATAGAGTTTCTGTAAGTCATGATTATAGAACGTTTTCACATTTCAAAATCAAAAAATCAAAAACAAAAATATTTATTCAGTTTAGACCACAAGTGGCACTTATGAACGTCAATAGAAAATAAAAAAAAAATAAAAGGTAGCCCTTATGGGGCACTTTACATGTCTCCTCATCTTTTGGGCCCTACCAGAGCTTCGAGACAAACATATGGCAAGTGCTGAGAAGAAACGCCGGAACAAACTCAGTCACCACTTATTGCCAGGAATTATCTAACGGTAAGAATAGTCAAATTTAAGTACATCGAATATGTGCAGACTGAACTGACCACGCATCCTTGTCATCAATATAGTCTCGAACCTTGTAGTAGTTTGGACATAAGGGTATTTTTTATTTTAGGCGACTTAGCAGCGCGACAAACGCGCTGCCGATAATTTCATACTATATGACAGCGGATGCCTGCCTTCACATTATAAAAACGCCGATGCCGCGCTGGTGTCGCGCTTCTCACGTCCTAATGTGAAAGCGGCCTTAGTTTAGAATTATTATAAATGAAAGCGTCAAGGACTGAGTCGAATAGTAGTGACTGAGAGCTTGCGGAGTTTCCTCTCAGCACTTGCTCATTAAAGACGTAGCACACTTAAGTGTTCGTAAGCGTATCAACTCGAGGCGGTCAGTATTCTTTGTATGAAATTCCATACTGCAACGCACGTGTACCTACGTAAATGCCTCGTCTCGCAGTTGAAGGCGATGCGGTGTTAATCCCTTTCCGAGTTGATAAGTCTGCTATGACCTTTAGAAAACTAATTAGCTTCAATCCTAAGTTGGATTCATCCTATCTCCAATCTAACCAACTACCTATAGTCTTTCGTCATTAGAATCCTACATTATTTCTGATGGACATAGGCGGAAATTCGCTTGGTCTCGTATAAACTTATTAAAAATTACATTTTTCCTGCAGGTCTACATCTCAGCAGAAGGCGTAGCCTCCAACATATACAAGAGGATGCACAACTTCAACGAGGATGAGCTGAAGATGGAGAAACTGGTGGAACTCCTGAAAGAGTTCAAGGTGTGGGCCACAAAGTCTTCGGAAGAGGTGAGGGTATTTTGAAAACATGAAAAACCTGCAATAGTTCCCCAAAAACCTTAAAAGAGGCCGAGAGAAAACTTACACCGCGATGTAAGTGACATACAACGCCACCTATTGGCATCCTTTAGAACTAAAGAACCAAAGCAAGTGTGTTGCTAGTCTTTTTATGTATTTCTATGGTATTGCAAAATAAATGTTAATTGAAAATAATTGTTTTTACAGGTGCACATAGATTTTGTAGTCAAAATCCAAGAGAAAGCTATTTTCGTCTCGCACATGAATCAAACTAGGTTTGACAGCTGGAACTTGCTGGAATGTAAGTAATTTGGTAGATCATTTTCAGTAATGTGGGCTATCATTATAATATAAGTAGCATTTTGATACTAATTGACAACATTAACCAATAATTTTAAAAATAACGCCCTCTCTCTTTCCCTTAGAAATATTTAACTTCTTTGTAAATCCTATTTTTAATAAAACAAATAAAGACATTTTTGTTTTGACTTCGTTTGAGCTCTGGAAATACAATAGTTTTATTTATGGTACTTTAAAATATTTCTTTAGTAGCTTGAAATTTTTCTATCACATGCCATATCACATGAACATCCAGTTTGCAGTGTCCCGTAAAAAACCGATCCATTCGAATTTTGAATTTCAATTTCAAACACACTTTTGTGTTCACTGTGTGGCACGTGTAAAAGTGCTTTTTATAAGCCTATTTGCAAAAATAAATGAGTTTTATTAGTTTTTTTTTACACAAGAGTCCAGTTTGCCAGATTCTGCATTACTGGGACCAGTAATGCAACACTGAAATGCCGTGGGAAAGTGCCCTTTACTAAATCTTTATTTTTTTCCAGTGGCCAAGTCAGTAAACGAATTCTTACGACTCGGCAGCCACATCAATCAGCAGCTCGTCTACTGCCCGACGCATAAGGAGTTGATTTTCCCAAACGAGCTCGGTAAGTGTTCCGTATTGCCCCCATTTTTCGCTGTTACACCGTCATTTTGTACGTTTAGCGGTTGGAGTGTTTGGCAAAGTGAATGTAGCATTAGTACTAGTATTTTTTGTTAGGGTAGGGAAAGTGTAAATATTTTCCCTAGTTTTATTATTCATTGCTTGATTAAGTATAATTTTCGTTATTTGAAAAGAGCGCTGAAGGGTGGCGCTACATGTCTCCACCGAACACAAAATAGTACTGAAACAGTTATACTTAGTTCCTATTTTGACCCCCGATCTTTTTATGTGACCAAGTGGTGTATTGTTTATAGCTTCTAATACAACTAAATACTTACATTAAGGAAAGTAAGAAGAAAGGCTTAATGGGCACAAACAACTTAAACAAATCTTAAAATAACATCATGTGATGGATAGAGAATTATCTAAATGGGACGAATTTTGTGTCATTAATTAAAGTTATTAATTACTTTAAACTATTATGTTGCATTTTTTACTATAAAATTACCACTTCACGGGATTTATTGCAACAATATCTATTTTAACGGTAAATAATATTTACCCTCCCGACGTTTCGGCTCGGTTGCACGAGTCATGGTCGCGGGCAGACTGAAGAGATGCGGCGTCGTCTGCTCCGGCGCGATGAGTTTTCTTCACCCACCCGCATTTGCACAATATTTTCGTCAGTGGTACAGTCAGTCCGACAAACTACACTAACAGTGTCCGGGTTTCTCTGAGACGGCCTAGAACGCGATTAGTTAAAATAGATATTGTTGCAATAAATCCCGTGAAGTGATAATTTTATTAATTACTGTTTTTCAATTAATAGGTATACCAGTAAAACTACAAACGACTACACTATCGTTCACTTCAATCCGAGGAAACCTTACAACACCATCGACAGATCTGCACATAAGGTAAGTCTGCAGCAGAAAACATAATCTGTAAAAAATATAATGGATGGTTTTTTTTTTTTCTTTGCAAGAAAGGACAGGTATTTGACCGCAATCGCACCTGGTGTTAAGTGAGATAAATTTTCGTTAACGCCTGCCCCCTTTCGATACTTAAATAAAGAATAAAAGCATTCTAAAAAGAAAAACCTACTATTGTTGAAACTATGACCACTAAAGGTTATAGCAGACTTATCAACTTGGAAAGGGATCAACACCGTATCGCCTTTCGTAAGCTGTCATCGCCTGTCGCGCGCTGTCAACCGCGAGGCGAGGCGTTTACGTTACGGTGCTTATAAGTGTGTGTTGCAGTATGGAGTTTCATACAAAGAATACTGACCGCCTCGAGTTGATACGGGTACAATCCCTTTCCGCGTTGATAAGTGGTGCTATACGTCCTTTAATTTTAATTTTTTTTTAAACGATTATTAGTAACTAGCTTTCCGCCCGCGGTTTCGCCCGCGTGGAATTTTGTCTGTCACAGTAAAACTTTATCGCGCGCGTCCCTGTTTCAAAAACCGGGATAAAAACTATTACATAAAATAATATACTTGATAAAATATTGAATGTTTATTTACATGACTGTGTCATAACAATGAAATAGCATGTTGCTAAGCAACCATAAAGAAGGTCAGACATGACACGCCTCCGCCGCGATTCCTGGCTGCAGCACTGCTGGCACCAGTGGCGCCGGCAGCAGCTGGTCTAGATGGCGTGTCCAGGTCAGACCGCCGTCCGTACGCACGACATAGTGCAGCTTGCCCAGGCGCTGTACCACTGTGGCAAATGTCCACTTCTGAGCGGAGCTTCCGTAAAGTCTAGCCTGCACTCTGTCTCCACAAACAAAATGTCTTGTATGTGAGGCCAATGTGTCATTAGTTCTCGATGGAGAGGATGATGGGGTTTTGAGCATAGTATGAAGTCTAGTCCTTACTTCTCGGCCAAACATGAGCTCGTAAGCTGAGTGTCCACTAGCGCCAGGGGTACGCCTCAGTCGGTATTTAATCACTAAGAGTTTATCCATTAAGTCGCCTCTCTCCCCCGTCATTGCACGCAGTGCTCTCTTGATGGTCTGTACGAACCTTTCAGCTTGGCCGTTGGTCGCTGGGTGGTATGGTGCGGTTTTTCGGTGTGTTATTCCGCATTCTGTCATAAAATTTTCAAATTCTGTTGATGTGAATTGGCGGCCGTTGTCTGAAACTAATATATGAGGCATTCCGAAAGTGACAAATAATTCATTTAATTTTTTTGATGCGATTCCGCCGTTTCGTTTAAGAGTTCCTATGGTCACCTCTTGACTCCATCATCAACCCAGCTAAATTGTCGGCGGTATAGCCAACAACCTGTTTAGAACTCTTTTAAGGATTTCTCCACAATTACCCCCATTCTCATACAATGACATTTCGAGATGAATTATTGTAAGCAAATCGGATCCGCTGGTGAACTTGATGGGCGAGGTTGAAGATATCTTCAATACATATATCTTCAAGATATCTCTACTTACACTTGGCCTGCGGATGAATATGGAGAAAACAAAGCTTATGTCCAATGTCCATGTTGCGCCCTACCCAGTTTCGGTTGGGAGCTCAATTCTCGAGATTGTTGACAAGTATGTCTACCTCGGACAAACGATTCAGCTGGGTATGTCCAATTTCGAGAAAGAGGTCAATCGTCGAATCCAACTCGGCTGGGCAGCGTTTGGGAAACGACGCAACATATTTTCGTCCAAAATACCTCAGTGCCTGAAGACTAAGGTCTACAACCAATGTGTAGTGATGACTTATGGTTCGGAAACGTGGCCTCCACTATAGGCCTTATACAGAAGCTCAAATTGCACAGCGTGCTATGGAGAAGGCTATGCTCGGTGTTTCTTTACGAGATCGAATCAGAAATGAGGAGATCCGTAAACGAACTAAAGTCGCTGACATACTAGCCCGACGGATACAAGCTGAAGTGGCAATGGGCAGGGCACATAGTAGGTACGCAGAACTGACGGCCGATGGGGCAGCAAGGTTCTGGAGTGACATACAATAAATAATTTGAATTTGGAGTGGAGGCCGCGTACCGGAAACGTGTGGGACGTCCACCTACAAGGTGGACCAATCAGGCAACATGGAAAGCATTGGGGGGGCCTATGTTCAGCAGTGGACGTCCTATGGCTGAGATGATGATGATGATGATGATGACTTACACTTGCAAGGGATATTTGCCGATTTAGCTGCTCCTTAAAACTCAGTGATATGGTGTTTTAGAATCAGCGTCTCGTATAAAACTCACTGGCCGACTAGTGAATTCACTTACGCATGCCGTTTAGATTGTTAATGAAAAATAAATACAATTTGTAACCACATCAAATTAATGAAAAGCTTCTTCTTAAGAATCTCTTATAAATTTATCTTAAAAAGTATTTAATCATGACGTAAAATCACAGATCAACATCGTTCGAAAGACAAGACACTACTCGACAAAGGCCTCCCTCAAGGATTTCCACAAACACCAGTCCTGCGCCACTCGCATCCAGCTAGCTACCTTCCGCGACCTTCACCGACCTTCACCAGATCGTCGGTCCACCTAGTGGGAGGCCTGCCCACGCCACGTCTTCCGTTTCGTGGTCACCACTTTGTGGTGGAACTTTCCTGCCTCAGCGGCCATAAATTGCTAAAAATGTTTTATAGACATGAAAGAAAAGTGATTTGTGTTGTGACAAACTAAATTTCATGCGGGTGAAGCCGTGGGCAGAAGCTAGTATTAATGTAATACACATATTTCACGTCAAGACTTAATTGTAAATTATAATATAGGCGCACTTACACATCACTCATGCCAGAGATAAGAAAAAAAAGTTTGTCATTAAAATTTATTTTTTACTTGTTATTTTGTACTTCAGTGTACTTCGGTACAACAAATTTCTACCGGTTAGTGAGTATAGTTAAGAAGGTCATCGATATGTATGAATCCGTCGCTTTTTTGTATGCATTCGAATTTGGTCGGGTAACCAGCCGTTATTTACAATTTGATATTTTTGTGTATATCTTTTTTTAAGCGATACATTTCAAGCTAAATATTATATTTTATATTTGTTCAATAAACGCTCTAATTATACGGTTGACATCCACTCATCTTGGTGTAGCTGATTCCTTGTATTTTGACGTCAAAATTATAGCACCGTCGTATTTACTTTTAGTGATATNAGGTCAGACATGACAAAAACTATCCTATGTTCTTTCCCGGGACTCAAACTATCTCTATGCCAAATTTCATCAAAATCGGTTGCGAGGTAAACCTCTAATCCCTCTCCCCTTAAGCGGGAAAGCGTAACAGACAGACAGACAGACAGACAGACAGACAGACAGACAGACAGAGTTACTTTCGCATTTATAATATTAGTTGGGATTTGTCCAAATTACTAATAGTCCCATTAGCCCCTCGTGTTAAGCTAAATAAGCTTGTGTTACGAGTGGCCTCACCACAATAGTCGAGCGGCGGTGGGATTCGAACCCACGTTCCTCGGATCTCGAGTCGGCCACTCCGACCCCTCACCGGTTGGCTATCGTGGCTATCTGATGATCTGATGATGGTAATCATGAATTTATAGGTATCAAGGCGTAACCCTGACATCCCTGTCGTCTTTCGGCGCGTTCTTCCAATCTGAGCACACGATGAGAGTGCAAACCTCCACGGTAGCTCACTTGCCCATCAAGTTCAACGTCACTGCTGGACCCACTGGGGTGGTGAAGTAAGTATAGTTTTATGTGTGACAGACCTATATTTAACATACATTTTGTTAATACTTCTTAATTTTGGGATAGCCAATTGTAGTGAGTTCAAGTAAAGTCCGGTCGCCGAGCACGTAGAATTTCGTCCAATGACCCCAAACTGCCCATTCTTATCGCTCGTCTTATCTACGTGTTCGGCGACCGGACTTAGGTAGATTTTTACTAGAAAATAGACTGTTGCGACCACTGAGCTACTAAGACTTTGGGTAACCCTGAAGGTTCGACCAAAACAACGCGTGTAACCCCCGCGTGCATGTCTCGAGGCAGGATGACAACTCCTTAGAACGACTGGTCGTCCACGGAAAAGTCGAAGGAACCCGATCGCGTGGCAGTTCACCAATGCGCTGGACCGACCAAGTGAAAGCAGCAGTGGGAGACGGCGTATGTGACTGCACCAGACAGTCTGCCAATAGAGAGAGATGGAGGGAGATCGTGCGGAGAGTTGTATCCGCCTCTACAACCGATGTGAACAACGCCTCAACGTGACGAATAAGAAGAAGAAGAACCCGCGTGCATGATGACGATGGTGATCCTACTGACTTCTACTGATCGCCATCGCGCACGCGGGCTGCACGCGTTGGTTTGGTCGAACCTTGAAATGAAAGAGAAATGTCGAAGGTAGTGAATTTAAAAAAACTTACCTGTGATCCTTATCCTTCAATCAGGTACGCGGTAACAATATTTTTACAATATTTAAATAATTTTGAATGTAATAATAAAAACATCACTGTCACTGCATGGACCTATAAAAAAAGTCGGACGGATTCTCATCAACAAAATACTGTGACATTAGGATATACCAGCTCGCCTGTACGTACAGGCCGGCACGCACACATTCATACCCTGATACACCACTTCGAGTGCAAACTTCACACAGTTGACACATTTACGCGGCGAAAAAAAAAACACAAATACGACATGTCTTGCGTGGTGAAATTGTGTAAAAACCGTTCTGATCGAACGAACAAAAATCAAGGAATCACATTTCACAGGTAAACTAATAATCTAATCACTTATTTCCCCGATTTTATAAACATTAAAATATTAAAATCAAACGTCAATCACTCGACAAAATAATACGTCAAAGGCCAGTGTTCTCAGTTATTTACGTGGGAAAATTACCCGAAAAGTGGGAAATCTATAATTTTAAGACTTTTTAGGTGTTTATTACGCATACTATTGAAATAAAATAATTTATCATAATAACTGTGTTTTAATGGGATATAATTATTTTCGTAGGCAGATTTGATCCTTCCCAAGGGCGTGGAACTGCGAAATTCAAATTTTCTTATATTTTTCAGGTTGTATCAGAGATAATAATATTGATGATACATAAGATTATGATTACGTAGGTACACAAGATTGATAATTTGTAACTGCGTGAATCGTACCTGACACTGACTTGCAAACAAAGTAAGAAAATTTGAAAATTTCGCGTCTACCTCAAACGTATTCATCTTTCATCCTTTTCAAATGGCACGATATAATTCCGTCTACATTTCCAAGTAACATATCTGCCCATCTATGTTTTTCTTAAGATAAAAGGGTAAAATGTTTTACTAACATGGCATCCCTAAATTCACTCACACAATAGACAAACGCCAAAATTTTGCGTCACAGTTTTGTTGTAGCGCGAGTTCCGTCCGCCTTTTTTTATAGGTCCATGTGTCACTGGTTTTACTCGCAACACCTTACTCAGGAAATTTATTTATCCACAACTTAGACGATTCTAAGGCTGAGTTGCACACCACCTAAACTTTGACCGTAACTTTAACGATTATTGACGTTTGTCAAAGTTAAAGTAAGATGGAGCAACCCTGCTTTAGACCGCCAACCAGAAGAGAATCTTTGTTCTTCAAATATCTCCGAAGAAGACATTTACAATGCCTAAATACTGAAAATGTATTTCCAGCTTCATATCACCAAACCTGCAACGCGGTGGTATAGTGATGCACACCAGAGTACAAGTGGAGAAGCGAGCCAATGGAACGGTCGATGCTTTCACTTTGAAACGCGACGGGCATGATTATGAGGTAAGCTTCATCATCATCATCATTACAGCCACAGGACGTCCACTGCTGAACATAGGCCTCTCCCAATGACTTCCAAATCGGACGGTTGGTAGCGGCCTGCATCCAGCGCCTTCCTGCTACTTTTATCAGGTCGTCGGTCCACCTTGTGGGTGGACATCCCACGCTGCGCTTTCCGGTACGTGGTATTCCAGAACCTTGCTGCCCCATCAGCCATCAGTTCTGCGTACTATGTGCCCTGTCCATTGCCACTTCCTTCATAGATAATAATAAATAGATAGAATACACTTTATTGTACACCACACAAGACAAGAAAAGAAAAAGAAAAAGTATTCAAAAGATATGGCACAATGGGGCGGAAGACGTAGTGTGGGCAGGCCTCTCACTAGGTGGACCAACGATCTGGTGAAGGTCGCGGGAGGTGCCTGGATGCGGGCGGCGCAGGACCGGTCTTTGTGGAAAACCTTGGGGGAGACCTTTGTCCAGCAGTGGACGTCTTTCGGCTGAAACGAATGATAAATGCTATCATACTCTCAGCAGTTGACGCCATTGGCAAGTGGTTCTTTCGTTTGTCTGTGGCCTTAACTATTAAGCGAAAGTAGCCTAATTTACATAATGTAATTGTTAAAACAATGCATTTATTTGATTTTAAGCCACGAACTCCATTCGCAGGTAAACGAATCGAGCATATATTTTGACTGCGACCACTCCGCTGCAGGTTTGGGATTCGAGGATCTCTTCACCACCAGCTTCTACGAGTAAGTGTTAGAGGCAATCAGATTACTCAAAATAAAAAGATTGAAATGAAACCCCATAAAAAACCCTGGCATAAAAGTTTTGCATTTAAGAACTGCAAAAAACAATAAACCTTCTTGAAAAAAAAAGTTTATTTTTAGCTTGGATTTTGGCTTCGTGTAGTTTGCACATTTATGGTCGTAGCACACTTATCAACCCGCAAAGGGATCGTAACCGTATCAACTCGAGGCGGTCAGTATTCTTAGTATGAATCTCCATATAGAGTAAGAGCTAGTGAACGCCAGACTTACGTCATTTTATAAAAGCTGAAAGTTTGTCAGCGTATGCTCCCAATCAACCAAAATCTGACTTTTACTGTGGCTTACTAACGTTATACCATTAAAACTGATTTTTATGTATAATAATTTGGACAATAATTTTTTTAATATGCTTGGACATTTTACACTACGCTTCTAATCCCAAACTAAGCAAAGTTTGTACTATGGGTACTAAACAACGGATATAAACATACTTAAATACTTTTTTTTTTGTAAATACATACATATTATTCATAGTAACACCCAGACCCGTCACAGAAATTACCTCTCGGCATAGTAGTCCGTTTCCGAACCACTACACCAAACCGACTAATTAGAAGTATTTTCCCCAACAGCCAGACAGTTTTGACAGTTCCAACTCCTTGCCAGACAGTTTTTTTAGGGTAGCTCCCAAAGCCACCACGACCCAAACTTCATAATTCACCCACATTATAATATCCTATATTGGGAGCATACGCTGACAAACTTTCAGCTTTTATAAAATGACGTAAGACTGGCGTTCACTAATTCTTAGTCCGATACTGCAACGCATACTTATCCGCACCGTAACGTAAACGCGTCGCCTCGCGGTTGACAGCGCGCGAAAGGCAATACGGTGTTGAACCCTTTCCGAATTGATAAGTCTGCTATGACCTTAAAACTTAAAAATCATAATTTCTCTTCCAGCTTCCTCAATTCCCTGCGCTCCTCCAGATTGATCCTCAACAGTTTCCCTATCCTTGTCTCCTCGCCCTCTAAGTCTTGCGGCGTCATCTACCCTCCCAAGACCTTGGGAGATGATAAGGGGCTCTTGGCCACCCTGGTGGTAGACGACGCACCATCAGTCGTTGGGTTCCTATCAGGGCAGCAGGAGCAGTTGAAATTGACGCTGCTTTTAAAGTATTATAGGTAAGGATTTATATCATTTTACATCGTCAACCTGTATTTTTGTTCCTGCTGCAGTTTTCAAAAATGTAGGTATTTATTATGAAATTATAGACAAATACAAAAAATACGAATGCATAATCAATCATCTTACTATCTTACTTATTATTGCAAAAAAATGTAATGTCGAAATGGGGTGAAATATAACAATGAAGTAGGTAGGAAGAAAATAAAGGAAAATATAATGGTATGAAATGTTAGTGTGGGTAACTTCTTATAACCGGTCAATACGCAAATCATTGGAGGAGGTCTATGTTCAGTTGTGGACGACGGACATCATATAGCTGAAATGATAATGATGATGATGATGAACTTTTTATAAATTCCGTATAAGTAAAAATCATTGCTCATGCTAAACACATAAAACGTAACGTATTTAGCGAAGAAAATTTTCTGTAACAGACAGACGGCCAGTTTATGTATATTTTTGGTTCCAGACAGGACGTTGAAGCTCCAGAAGATGATACCATCTTCAAACTGGATGCGGAGTTCGAAATAAACAATTTGGACGACAAAGTAACTACGAGGCTTGTTGCCAATGGATCCAGGCCTAAATCACCAGGGTCTAACTGGAGGGTAAGAAGTTAATAAGGCTCGGTTTCCACTAAGGTGGAGCAGAACGGAGCAGAGAGCAGGGGAGGCCTTTGTCCAGCAGTAGACGTCATTTGGCTGAAACGAATGAACATCATCTAGTGATGATAATGTTCCTCATGGAGATATATTTATATTTATTTATTTATTATCAACCAAATAATGCGCTGAGTTCAAAACTCAGTGTCGCATTAGAAATTCACACACACAAAGAAATCAAAATTATGTGTTCAGTATCCACTGCGGTACCTATACTCAACGTTCGAATAATCTTTAGTAAGTAGGTACTACGCAAGCAACGTAAACTGTTTACATTATGACGTCGCTGCTGTCATCATTGCTTTCAGGCCTCAGCCTCGAATTTAGCGGGCAGCGGCGCGGTAGCGGCGACGGCGCGGGAGCGGGGCGGACAACGCAGGCCCGTTCTCGAAACAAGCGGGCAGCTCGCGCGGCGCTTTAGCGGCGAAGTGTTGTGTTCGGGGTTGTGTTGTCGAGATATTTGTTTTTATTCGCAAACGAAATGTCTGACGAAACGAAACGCAGCGTGGGACGTCCACCTACAAGGTGGACCGACGACATCGTAAAGGTAGCAGGGAAGCGCTGGACGCAGGCCGCTACCAATCGATCAACATGGAAAGCATTGGGGGAGGCCTATGTTCAGCAGTGGACGTCCTGTGGCTGAAATGATGATGATGACGATGATGATGAAATGTCTGAACAACGGCGACAATTTTATTTCGATTCAAATTTATTCCTAATGCTCGATTTACTGTGGGCAAAAGAAGGAGTGCGCTGCCCGCTCGTTGCCCGCTCCCGCGCCGCTGTTTTCGAGAACCGGTCTATTTGATTTTACGCATTAGATCCTGCCGCTCCCGCGCCGCTACCGCCGCCGCCCCGCTGCCCGCTAAATTCGAGGCTGAGGCCTCACGAGCAGTTTTTGTGCATATTGCTGCGACACCGGCCCAGCGCCCTTGTCACATTTCTGTGAACTGTGATTGAGCTATTTCATTATTTTTGCTCTCCAAATAAAGAAAAGAAAATTATTTCCAGCTGTTAATAGAGAACCAAGACTTCAATATCTATGCCAAGAACATGCCTCAAGGCACCAGCTACGCCGGCAGCTTCGCCGTCAACTTCGTGACGTCATCCAAGGCCAGGGTTCTGAAGGTGGAATACAGCGACAATAAATACTCCTTGGGGAAACTCCTCAACTTGAAGATTACTAACAAAAATGCAAGTGTTATTTTAATTATTAAAGTAACTAAGCACTTTTTTGTTGCAAATAAAACACTTTAAACAAGTAAATAAGATCCTATTAAAGTTAATGCAATAGTAGGTACCTACTTCCGAAAATGCCCTATCGATACTAAAGGACACTAACTACCAACTGACCAATCTGCGAATCAATGGGAGAGGCTTATGTTCAACTAGTGACGAGTTTCTTGCGCTGCTTCTTCTCAGCACTGGCCAATTATTTATTTATTTATTAATTTATACTTCAATGCCAAAAATATTAATATTGTCCCGAAGCAGTGGTAGGTGTAATATAGGGACGTGTAAACGTGCTTTTTAAAAGCCTACCTTGCAAAAATAAATGAGTTTTAACAGTGAACTTCCTGTGGATGAAAAGATGATGAATGCCAGAACAATAGTGAAATGAGCAGTACTAAGCAAGCTGCTGATGTATCTTAAATTGTGATCATCGATTTTTTTTATTTATGTATTAATTTCAGTTACCAAGTGACATGTTGGCCAATCTGGGCCTAGGATGCGAAGCAGAGACCTTCAGGCAAAAACCTTTGTTCAGTACTTCTGAAGATCTCGCCCAATTCAACGTTACTTTAGAGGTAGGTATATTCATAGTCTCCTTTGTAAAGTATGGATAAATTAACATAATCATAACATAATCATAACATAATTTTATATAATAATCCATGCTTATACATACATACATTCTTCCATACCAATATTATAAAAGAATAATGACTCAAGTCTCTCTGTTAGGCCCAGAACAGACGGTGAAACGCAACTGCAACGAAACTGCAACTGCTAGTTACTTTTGAGTTGCATCTAAGTTTCTGCCATAGCGTCCGTTGAGAGACCACACATGACGCGACCAGTTTGAAACTTTCAGTTTCAGTTTCATTCATAAGAATCATCAGAAAGTTGCAGTTTCGTTGCAGTTGCGTTTCACCGTCTGTTCTGGTTCTTACTCTTCACTCTAATTCCTTTTCACCTACTTAGATGAAAGGTCGAAACTTGGCCTCTCTCTCCATAAGCCTCATAAAGAAGCTCAAAGTTGTACAGCGTGCTATAGAAAGGGCTACTCGTATGCTCGGTGTTTCTTTACGATATCGAATCAAATGCAGCGTAGGACGTCCACCCATAAGGCGGATAGCCGACCTCATAAAGATAGCAGGAAAAGCCCTGGATGACAACCAGTCAAATAGAAATCATTAGGGGAGGTCTATGTTCAGCAGTGGACGGCCTGTGGCTGAAATGATGATAACGATTTATTTTCCAGGTGAAGAACGCTATAGCATCATTGGCTGTGAATAATGACGCGAAGATTCAATTTGTGTCGCTCGGCTTTGATAGACTCTTCGAAGCCTGGACCAATCTGAAGATGATAAACAACTACTACAGTAAGTAAATCCTTACCTTCGAACTCCTATGTTCTTCTGATTAATTTCGTTGCGGGTCCAATGACAGTTTAACTTTCCCCGGGACAAACTTGGCCTTCACTGGTTGGGTTATTGGCGGTCAAGCTATAGATCCTGGCTACACAGGAGTGGAAACAGTGAGAAAAAGTTGTAAGAAAAGTCTGACTTTGTCGGAGTTAGACAGACTTTTCTTTCTCCGAGTGGAGAAGGCCGCCGCCATTTTAACCGCCTCTGTGGTCTAGTGATAAGACCACGTGCTTCAGACGCAGAGGTCCCGGGTTCGATTCCCAGTGGGGGCAGATTTTTCTGTTCGGTTTGGTTGGTGGTAGGGCTTGTTCTAAGTCCGCCTGGCTAGCTACCACCATCTTACCTAAGTCTGTCGCCATAACAACAATGTTAACAGCATTGTGGTGTTCCGGCATGCAGTTAGAAGTAAGATAACCAGTTCCTCCGTGGTTGAGGATTCCGGGTGAAACTCGCTTCCACCTTCGGCCTGATCGTCACTTACCATCAGGTGAGATACAGGCCAAGAGCTTCCTCGTTGTGGATAAAAAAAAGAAGGAAAAGTCCGAGCCGACTTTGATGATTTTCCATTCATGGCTCGCACAGTATCGTTCATAGTCCGTCTGTTCGCTCATAACAAGTTACTAATGACAGATAGCAACATTATCAGTTATTCCCAGAAATGACTTTTCTTTTTGCAAATAATATTTGTTTTATAGCTTCATACCGTCAAGTTGCACTGCTATAGAACGCTGTTCCACTGTGCAATAGTTGTGTGTGGAAATCGATGCCCATAAATTAAATTCTATTGATCTTTTATATTGTTTTATCCAGAGGAATTCTCGCCGTCGCAAAACGGTACAGCGGAGAAAAATTTCGAGACGTGGTTCAGGTTCGGGCCCCACGGAGGCACCACCGAGTGCACTGAACGACTTCTGCTAGGCGACTGTACTGAGAAACCCAGGTAATAATGCATAGTAATAATAAGTACCTACAAAGTTTTTATTGATAAATCGTCTTGACATCCTTCGAATTAGGCGTTACTTAGTAGGTGACGTTTCATCCGTGAAAATTTCATCCGAAGATGAATTTATTGTCTCTCTTTCAAATTGTTAGGTGTCGAATCATCAAGTTTTATGATATCCGACCTAGTGTTTTCAAATAAAATTACATTTTCATAGGTAGGTACTTAATGTCAATTTACATTACCTAAACTGTTCAACGCGCGTTTTACTTTTTGTGATTGGGGGCTGATGTTTTTTTAAGTAAAAATATTTCAATTTTGCATATAGAATTCTTATCGTGGAGATGGACGCCACTTAGCAACATTGACTCGTAAAATTGAATTGATATCACTTTATTTTATTAAAACATTAAATTGAATCCCCATATTTTTGTTTATCAGTTAAATATTTTACTGCCACAGGTTCGCAATCACCCAACTCAAGCAGGGGGGGCTGAAGGTTTACGCGGGGGGGTACTACGTCACAGTGGAGAGGACGGGGAGGCAGAACATGTTCATCAATATGACGCAGTCAGACAACCATTTGAAGTAAGTCAAACGGGACTATTTCCACCTCTCGTTCCCACCGCCGCAACTCCTGTGTAAAGCCCGGTCTGCGAGCACGTAGAATGTTGTCCCATCCTTGTCGCTCGCGCGTAATTATGTTGCTGTCGCGCTCGCACACTCACTGCGGGCGCCCGTCGCACAGTCGCGACAGCAATATAATTACGCGCGAGCGATAAGGATGGGTAGCTTGGGGTCATTGGACAAAATTCTGCGTGCTCGCAGACCAGACTATAGCCAGGATCTACAGCTTGACCGCCAATAAAACTCAACCAGTGAAGGCTAAGTTTGTCTCTGTTTTGAAGTAAGTTGTAACAACTATGGTTGCTGGTGTCAAATCTACCTTTTCATAAAGGTTACTTAAACCTTTGTTTTGTCACCTGTCGTCCGCTCTACACTGGAGGGAAGTCGTACCTTAACTTCGAACTCCTCCTATGTTCTTCTGATTAATTTCGTTGCGGGTCCAATTTTTTGTTTCTTTCCCCCATGTCTAACTTGTCTTTCACTGGTTGAGCTCTTATTGGCGGTCAAGCTGTAGATCTTGGCTACACAGGTGAGTTGCAGCGCAGGGGTGGGAAAAAAAGGTGGGATTGTCCCGTCATGTTAGTCTATAGCTTCTATACCCTGTTGATTTCGACATTGAGCTTTCGGTAGGGTAAAATGTGCATTTGGAAACAACTGATATCCATTTTGTCCTAACCAATTCTGAGTTTTCTGAACCTTCTCCTTCAAACTATTTTGACCATGCCTTTTTTCCAGGGTCTCCGAAATCAAGAACGGCGTGAAGATCACCTCGCCTCACACAGGCGTCCAGGTCTATTACAGACACCAGGATATGCTGATCCTGGTGCCAAGCTCGCATCTCCACGCCATCTGTGGGCATATCGTGGCATCTTTGCCCACAGATGCTAGAATCTGTGGGAAACACTAATTAAGATAGTGTAACATAGCGGTCGACAAATGTTATGTAGAATCATATGTCGACAGATGCTAGACTAGAATCTGTGAGACATTAGAGCTCGCTCCTGCACGCCATCTGTGAGCATAGCGTGGCATCTTTGCCCACAGATGCCAGAATCTGTGGGAAGCACTAACTATAGGATATCGAGACATCTCTGTCGACATAATATCTCATGTAGCATCTGCACTCTAGACAAGTGGCAAGACGTGACAGTTGTAATTCGAAATTCCTACGTTCCAGCGTTTTTGTTTGTACTCGTAGTTATTTGTACATCGCTCTGTGACGGAAATTCTAAGTTGCAAATGTCACGTTTTGCCAATTACCTAGGGGGGCTGGGGCAGGCAATAACTAGGATAGCGTGGCATCTCTGCTCATAGATGCTAGAATCTGTGGGACATTAGAGCTCGCATCTCCACGCCATCAAATCTGTGGCCATATCGTGGCATCTTTGCCCACAGATGCTAGGATCTGTGGGAAACACTAATTAAGATTGCGTGGCATTTCTGCTCATAGATGCTAAGATGCTAGAATCTGTGAGAGTCCTTAGAGGCTCTCTAGAGAGTCACTGTAATCTGTGAGAAGCACTAATTAAGATAGCGTGGCATCTCTGTCGACAAATGTTATTTAGGATCATATGCTAACAGATGCTATCTGCATAGAATCTGTGGGACATTAGGGCTCCCATCTTCATACTATCTGTGGGCATAGAGTGGCATCTTTGTCCACAAATGCTAGAATCTGTGGGAAGCACAAATAAGGTCGAAAAGAGATGATTTGGTGCTAAATTACAATAAAAATTTTACCGTCTTCATGTATTGTACATTGAAATATCAAAGTAAAACTACTTTCCCATATCAATGGAATTTCACAATAAAAAATAAAAAATGCCCTAACTTGTTGTTCTTTCTTTCAAAAAGTGATAGTAGACCATATTTTGATAATAGCACAAATTAATAAGTGTAGTCTTAATGCAATCAATAATGTGTAGGTATGAATGTAAATAATTATTTTTATTTAATTAAATATACAGTGTGTAAGTTAATCGTTGTTTAATTTAACAAAGTCAACGTTTTATTCCTTTATTTGAAGTCTCGCTGAGTTAAACGCTAGACCTGGAGTTTTGATAATTATTTTGAAAGTGCTCTACAGTATCATATAATTGAACCCACATACAAGTTACAAAGCTAACAAATGATACGGGATCGTTTAACGCTCACTTCACTTTATACAGGCTGTCTCAAAAACAATGTGGATAACCCTGCAATTACTTTTCGATAGGACTTTTTTATGTATTTTTAGAAAGTGTGACCTGTGATTAGCTTTTCTCATGAAATTCAACAAACTAGTTACAAAAGTATTTAGAAAAGATTAAAAACATGAAAAGGAAATTTTAAATCATTATCGCAGGTGGCAATTTTCGAAAAAACTTAAAATTCTCGAAAGCCGTCATTATTTTACCTGGTCAAAATTTTATATTAGAGAGATCATAGTGTATCGATAGTTAACTACAAGGATATCCATTGTTTTTGGGACACCCTGTATTATTACAAATGAAATTTTTTAGTTTAAAAGATTTATCATAGTTTGCAACTAAAATATTAATCAACAATGTTCGCCAGAAGCGGTAGTGTGTTTTGTGCGTTATTTTTTATTATTATTTTGGTTAATATTGGTAAGTATATTTTATTATTAAAATAAGATCTAGGCCTCTTCAAGGCGAGAGTGATCGTAGACATTTACATGATTTTGGTTTAAATAATTTTTTATTTGTTTTTGTAGCCGCAACAGAAGCTGCATCTAGACAAAAAAGGTAAGTAGAACATTTCTTTTTTATCTACACTAATATTAAAAAGAGGAAAACTTTGTTTGTTTGTTTGGTTGGTTGTAATGAAGGCTCAAAAACTTCTGGACCGTTTTTAAAAATTCTTTTACCATTCGAAAGCTACATTATCCACGAGTAACATAGGCAAAATTTTATTTTGGAAAAAAATAGGGTTCCGTAAAATATGTGGATAATGTAGTCCCCGCGCGCGAAGCCGTGGGCGGAAAGCTAGTTTGAAAATATACTAGTCACTTGTGATAAAGAGTACGTCTAGCACTTAACTCAGCCTGAGGTATGGTAGCGGCACGGAAGGGTGACATTGACATTTATGACGTGGCAGAACATACAAATCTGTAGCACATTGAAGCCTCGCTGACGTTTGACGAGGTTAGTTTCCTAAAAAAATTTTTTTAGTCCGTCATGTTTAATATCAAAAAATATTGGACACATATATTTTTATTTGTCAATCTAACAAAAAATTACATAGTTATGGTGCGTTGAAGTTCCGCACGACGTCACAACGTGCGGCACTTTTATGCAAGCATTGACGTCACGGGCCTCTTCTGATGAACTTTGGCGCGCTTTATCTCTTTAAATTTTCATTAGTTTGAAAAAGTGAAAAATACGTGTAGAGTATTTTTTGATAAGTTAACTGACGGACTAATTAAAACTCTTGCTTTTTGACCCAGGAAACATCCCTATTAACTGAGCTAAGCGCTAGATCTCTAGTAGGTATTCCTATTAACCCTTCCATGGGGTTAATCACTGGGAGAGGCCTAGCTATGTTCAGCAGTGGACGTCCTGAGGCTAAAATGATGATGATGTTTTTCTATCAAAAACCAGATGCATCGTAGTCCAGAAGCAGTCAGGGTCTAGAGACGTGGATGATGAGGATGACGAGGACTACAGGCTGCCGCAGCCGAAGGACCCGAGGCCTGACAGGATCCGAGCTGGTGCTGCACTGGATAAGAGGTTTGACGTTGAGGTTAGTCCCATTTTATGAACATAAGTCTAGGCGCAGACCAGCGATTTTTAGTTGGCCGATAGTTGGGCCCGATTCTAATTTGTATGAAGAATCGGCCGATACCAAATTGGTGTAATGTGCGCACTTTCATACATCTTCATACTGATTAACAGCCCGACCCAACTATCTGCCGACTAAAAGTCGGTGGTCTGCGTCTCGTTAGAGTTTCTTGCGGCGCTTCTTCTCAGCACTTGCCAAATGTTGGTCTCGAAGCGCTGGTAGGGCAAAAAGATTATGAGACGTGTGAAGGCTCCATAAGAGCAAAACTTTGGTTCTTTTTTTTTATTACTTTTTTTATTTATTTTACTATTTGACGATGCAAATAAAGGAATATAAAATTTAGCGTGGATTCGCGGTGAGGTGCGCTGAATTTTGTCAGTGTGTGCGTGCGTGCCGCATACGTATTGGCGCGCTCACATACAAACCGCGCTCGGTGCGTTTCTATGAAGATGACCTACTCATTTGTATTTACTCAGATGGCGTTGTCAGCAGCCTTCATTAAATCTTCCTGCGTGCAGTGCTTGGGCACGCAGGGCACGACATCATGTGCTTCGTCGACTGGGGAACAAAACCACTTTGACTATGAGTGTGATATTTTATTATGATGAGTGTATCTTAGCTCAGGATATCTGGTAGCACAGAAGTACTTAGAGGCAGTTGCACAGCCCCTTAAATCCTTTGAGCTAATTTTTAGGGTTCCGTAACCGAAAGGTTATTACAAAGACTTTTTTTTTACCCAGGAAAATGGGTGTGGGTCTCGAACCCACTAAAAACCTGGGGTGTTCCCTCTGCCGCATAGTGGTCGGCGCCTTGGGTACTAGAAAACGACCAAGGCGCCTTCCGCGGACGTCCCGCCGAATACTAAAAACAGCATAAAAGAAAACATTAAATGGGGCTCCCGTAAAGTATGTAACACAAACGTGACTTTTTGACGTGAATATTCTGTGTTATTTAACTTTACATACAACAACAAAAGCGTCGTACGGAACCCTTTGCACGCGAGTCCGACTCGCACTTGGCTTTTTACCCAAATTAGGCTCACTCAACCAAATTATACTTAATGACCATGCGGGGCGATTATTTTTGAACAATTTAAAAAATGGGTCGCCGGCCAAAGGGTTAATAACGCGGTTTAAGCCCGGGCTATTTTTGAAATTATTCCGGTACACTGGCAGGGGTGGGAATGTGAGGATAAAGGATTTTTACACAGGCTGCAAAAAAATCCTACTAATAATTATAAACGCGAAAGTTTGGATGTCTAGATGTTTGTTACTCTTTCACGCAAAAACTTCCGAACGGATTTTGCTGAAACTTTGCAGTATTATTGTTTATAACCCAGAATAACATATGCCTGATTTTTATATACAGTGTGAGTCACGTTAAAGTGTTCATATGAAAATAGATGAAACTAGACCTCTTTTTTGTCATTAATTATCTTTAAAAATAGTAAGACACGGGTCTTAACGCGACGTTTATTAACACGCTCACTGCGTTATGAGGTCTAAAAAGCCACATGCAGAACTTACCGCAGGTGCGGCAGTGATAATCGCGTTCTCTCACTCTGTGCGGGGGGCGACTATTTTAACATTTCTATGAGTACAACAGAGACAAATATATCAAATTGCTTCTCTTACGAAGCCTAGCATAATGACGTAGACAATATTGTATGAGGTCGATTAGGTCCCATACGCACTGGATAGAAATTAATCACGTTCAGTGCGCCGTAAGGTCTGAACTGCCTCAAAAATTGCAGGCCTCATAACCGCACAGGGTGAGGCGCGGGCGCCGCGCATTTAGAGTAGTGATGTTTCGATACGGACGCACGCTGTTAGCCAGTGACACATTAACACTGACTTTTTAACTAAAAATGGCATTTGTATACACTTAACGCACGTATTTATTTCAGGTATTCCTAGTGGCAGATAATAATAGATAATTCTAGTCCCAAACCAAGCAAAGCTTGTACTATGGGTACTAGACAACGGATATAAACATACTTAAATACTTTTTTTTTTGTAAATACATACATATTATTATACATAGAAAACACCCAGTCCAATACAAACAAATATGTTCATGCACACAAATACTGTGCGGGAATCGAACTCGCAACCTCCGGAATAGTAGTCCGTTTCGAACCACTACACCAAACGGCCGACAATGATGTGCTGAACATTCGCTTAAAAAAGGTGGTCAACGAAAGCGCTGCGTAGGTTGCTACGACAGATTAAGACTAACACTAAATAGCACTCAGGCTGCAAAAAAAAACTAAAAAAATTGTAACTTTTTGTGTTCTGTGTGACAAATCCTACCGTTTTCCCTGTTTTAATGAAAAATACTTTAATTAAAAACAAATATTATAATTTTATGGTAACTGAAATTTTGTTTTATTCCCATCCCTAGTCGAGACACAAATTGGACTTTCTTTCAGTGCGAAATGAGGCAGAAAAGATGTCATATATTTTCTTAATTTATTAAATACCAAAATGTCATAACTGCGGGCGAAGCTAGTTTAAGGTTAAACATCTATTTAAGTTTATAATAGAAAAGTTTCAAGCCAATATTGTCTTTTCTGAGCTATATTTAAAGTATTTTTAGAAACAATATTTTGTGAGGCAGAAAAGGTCTCATACGCACTGTAAAGAAGTTCAATATTGACTCGAAAAGACCTCATACGCACTGGCTGAAAGTCTACGAAAAATGGTTTCGCAGTGAGCGTGTTAATGAGTTACATTATGTACTCACGGCTTGACGTTTCGGCTGCGATGCTGCAGCCGTGGTCACAAGCAGACTGACTGGACGACGCCGCGAGCCGCAAGTCGCGTTAAGACCCGTGTTTTACTATTTTAGTTGAAATGGAACGCGAAAGTTTAAATCATATAATTCTCTTTTTACAGGACA